CCCATCCCCATCCCCGTTATCCCATCCCCATCTCCATCCCTGTCTGTCCCCTCCCTATCCCATCCCCCATCCCCATCTCCATCCCAATCTCCATCCCCATCTGTCCCCTTCCCATCTCCACCCCCATCCCATCCCCGTTATCCCATCCCCATCCCAATCTCCATCACCGTCTGTCCCCTCCCCATCCCCATTCCCATCCCCGTTCATCCCATCTCCATCCCAATCTCCATCTCTATCCATCGCCTCCCTATTCCCCTCCCCATCCCCATTCTCATCCCTCTCCCCATTCCCGTCCCCATCCTCATCCCTGTCCCCATCTCCATCCTAATCTCCACCTCCATTCCCATCCCTTTCCCCATCCCATTCCTGTCCCCATCTCCATTCCCTGTCCCCATCGTCCCCAACTCTGTCCCCATCCTCCTCCCTCCCTTGTGGCTCTCAGGAACTCCACACGGCTCCCAAAGCACTGGTGGGGACAGGACCACAGAGGGATTTGTCCCATTTCCCACCCTAAGCTTGAAAGTGCCTTGTCCCCTTGCCCACACACTGCAGGATGGGCACAGGCACATCAGGGATGTGGGCAGCAGGTTGAAGGAGGTGATTCTTCCTCTCTCCTCTACTCGCCTGAGACCCACCTGGAATACTGCACACAGTTCTGGTGCCCTCAGTGTAAGAAGGACATGGAAATGTTGGAGCAACTCCAGAGGAGGCCACGAAGCTGCAAAGAGGACTGGAGCATCTCCCCTGTGAGGACAGGCTGAGGGAGTTGGGGCTGTCCAGCCTGGAGAAGCCACCTTCCAGGAGCTGAAGGGGCTCCAGGGAAGCTGCAGAGGGACTCTGTGTTAGGAGCTGCAGAGACAGGACAAGGGGCAATGGGTACGAACTGAAAGAGGGAAAATTTAGGTTAGGTATTAGGAAAAAGTTCTTTATTGTGAGGGTGGTGAGACACTGGCACAAGTTGCCCACAGAGGTAATGGAAGCCCCAACCCTGGCAGTGTTCAAGGCCAGGCTGGATGCCTTGAGCAATCTGCTCTGGTGAGGTGTGTCCCTGCTCATGGCAGGGGGGTCAGAATGAGATGACCTTTAAGGTCTCTTCCAACCCAAACCATTCTATGATGTTTCTAAGTACTGACCCATCAATCAGGCCAAAGCTTAGACCTAGATTGCAGTCAACAAATTTTGCAATGTCTAGATCCAAAACACTCTTGTATGAGTTTGAACATCTTGGACTACATCTCCTAGGGTTGGTGGTAGAGGCACAGCAAGCTCCAAAGTACAGACACATCATGCATTTACCAACAGACTCGTCTGGAGCTACAGAAACTAGACAGAAGGAGCAATTTAATCAGAATACACAGGGCCATTGCCAATCTTCAGATCCTGCTGCGTTGTTGGTCCTCAAACAGCTGTCCACAGCATGAAGGAAGTACATGATCCCATGTGGAATAATAAAAGCAGTGGCACTGGCCAAGGAAACTGAAATTGTGTTATTTCTCTTCAAATCCTTTAGGTAGCAGTACCTAGGAAGGAAATGTTGGTGCCATTTGCAGCAGAAATATTTTGTGGGTTTTCAAATCTAGTCTGAAAACCTTGAAGGCAACAGCCAGGTCTCCCCACTCAGGGACAACAAGACTGACCCTTGCAAGAGAGAGATGAAGATACTGGACAGAGTAAGGAGATCTCTTTTGGGGACATACTGATAAACCACTCAAGGTGACAGTCCTGGACCCTTGTACCCTGCAGCCAACGCCAAGTGAGGCAAAGACTTGAAGCAAGAATCAGAAACTTGAAGTCAAAATTAACAACCAAAGACCTCATGAGGACAAGGACAGTACTCAATGCAACCAGAGCCAGGGTGAATGTCACCATAACCCAGGAAGGCACCAAGCATTATCTAGGAAGCAGAGTCTAGGCAAGAGCAGGACTGGAGCAGGACAGGTGCTGGGAGGGGCAGAAGACCAGGGCAAGCAGGAGCTGCCAGTAAAAATGGCAGAGATTTGGACAGAATAAGAGCAGATCAGAACACTGAACAGGAGAGAGAAACTTTCCTTCAAGTTCTGTCTGAGAGACACACATCACCAACCAGTTCACAAGCTGTAACCTGCCTGCAGCTGGTCTGGTTCCCTGATTTCATTCCCAAGGTAACCACACAAACACGTGTAGCTGAGGAAGTAGCATGAGGCTAAGTCTATTCCTACAGGCAGGAACACTATAAACCAACATCCCATCAGATCTTAACTGGAGAGTGCAGGAAGAAATTGGAACTTTTATCCATCCTTAAAGCTATTTTGTCAATGGAAAGAGTAGAGACATAGAAACAAGGAAACAACACAAGACTTACATCCATGTCTGACAATAGACAAAAGGCCTGATTTGCTAGAGGACTGTTCTGCCAACTTCCATGTAGAAAGTGCCATGATGTCTTAAGAGAAAACTAGATTTTCATAGGCTGGATTAAAAATGATAATGCTAGAGAGAAAAAAGGAGTCTGGCTCTTGCAGAATCTCTAGGCAATATCCTCCTGGCTGCTCTGTGTGAAGCAACAAGTCTTTGCTGTCACTTTAGCCAGGAGATGGTCTTGGTTAAGTCATTCAGGACACACATAAGCACAGAGGTAGAAATAACCAGCAGAAGATCCTATAAAGGATGAGACCTGTCTAAGAGAGTAGCTGTTAAGACACACTTGTTAGAAAGTCTTCCAGAGTGTCCAGGAAAAATCCTGTGTACCTCAAAGAAGTCACCTGGACCTGGTTTGGACACCAACTGCCACGTTCTGAAAGGAGAGAACCTTCTTAGCCAGCCACACTGAAGGAGAGATCTGACTCTGGCCATGAGATGCATATGCTCCCTAAATGATTCATTTTTCAACACTCTGCTTGGATAATTTCCTACTCAAGACTCAGGGCTCATCCCATGTTTTTCAGGAGAATCTTGGGTGAAGTGCTTTAGAACTGAGAAGTAAAACATTCCTATTCACCTTACTTTCTAATGTCTAAGAACACATGGGATTGGGCATTGAATTCTGCACTCAACACAGGCTCCAATCCATATGTCCTAATATATGGAAGGGAAGCTTAGGCAGCTCTGATTCCCTCTGTGGAGCCACAGAACAATCCCCACTGTCACTGGGATGGAACCAGACTTCTCACCACTGCTGTGTTGGTGCTCCTAGGAAAGCAATGGGATTGCCTGGACCTAACCAGATTTCAAGAGTGAGAGCACATGAGCTTGCTGTTAAAGCACAGACTCCTCCCCTGGCTCTTCCTCATTCCATACCCCTAAATTTCCAAGGGCAGTCGTGTCCCAAACTTGATTTCATGTTTGGCAATGCAAAATAACCAATACCCTGTACACTACAACACTATGACCTGCACCAGTGCAACAAAGTCTTCTTGATCCAGCTGGGGATTCATGACAGTGGTATCAGGAGAGGAATATTTATGAAGTAGGAACTATAAAACTCCCAGTGGTAAGTACATAGCAGTTGGGATCCTTATAAAAAATAGCCAATTCTTGGAAGTCAAACACCATGACAGAAATGCTAAACCAAACATACTAGACTTAGCCAAAATGAGCTCTCTACCAGCATTTATGGTCATGTACTGTGGTCTGACATGGACGTTTCTAACATCATATCACTTTCATTCATCTCAATCTCAAATGTTTCTTCCAGAGGGCGACTGGTGTCTGTGCTTTTCCTCTGATTGGATGTCTCTAATGGTACTATGCCACTTTCATCCAGAGTTTGTCTTTCGATGTCGAATTCTCTGAAATCCCAGGGAGGTGAAATGATGTTCTTCAATGTCTTCACCGTGTGCACGTCGAAGTCGTAACATCTTAACTTGTCTTTGATCTCTGTTCCTAGGAAAATAAGATAAACCAGCAGTTTATTCCAAAGGAACACTCCCAAATGTGCATCTCAAAGAAACTATCATCCAGAAACTGCTCTAACTCTGTGCTCAGACCATCAGGGAGCTGTTGCTGCTGTTCTGAAAAACCCAGCAGCCTCCTCTTTGAAAAAAGCACAGTACAAGTAGTACAACTCAAGCTCAAAAGTCTGTCCTGAGAAGTAACTGCCAATTCCCTTCCCAGTTCTCCAAGGGGCTATTTTTCTTGTTTAAGTTATTGGTTTGCATTGATGCACATCACATGGCTTCATGCCTCTTCCAGATGTGTTCCACGACTACAGATGGAGCAAGGCAGGACTGAGAAGAAACAGCTGCTTTAGTTGTGTGAAAAATGTGCAGGAAAAGCACTGGAGCACACAGATGTCTTTTGCTGTTAAGGCTTCAGCCTTATTAACATGCTTGACAGGACATCAACTGTGGTCACCACAGACAAATCACTAAGTTCAAGGGAGCAGAGATCTGTCACTGTGAAGGTTTTGAGGGGGCAGAAAACTATTAGAGAAGATTTAAAGCTATCGAAATAGAATGTATTACTGTTATGAAGCACATTTTCCCCCCCATATGGAAAGCTTTAGGGGTCAGAAGAATTTATCCTGAACCAACTTTGGCCATAGTGAAAACATTTAGCTCTACAGCAGCATTAGTGCTCTGACTTCCTAATTTCATACTCCATTTTATCCTTCTTCCATTCCCTTTCATGTCTAAGCTGCCACAGATGGAATTGGAATGTGCTGCCCAGGGAGGTGGTGGATTCCCCATCCCTGGAGGTTTTCAAGATGAGACTGGATGTGGCACTTAGTGCCATGGTCTAGTAACCACAGTAGGGTTGGACTCGATGACCTTGGAAGTCTTTCCTAACCTGGTTGGTTCTATGATTCTATGAAATCAGCGTTTTCCATAACAGAAACCATCAACACCTTCAGTGACAAAGTGTTTCCTTTCTTTATACTGCTGAGAATTCAATGACATGGTGCTCCCAAAAACCAGTGGTGTTCTGCAGCTGCTGAGAAGTTCTGACTCATTTAGCCATTAAAACAAACCAACCAAACAAAACCCAAACAAAAACATAGTCCACTTGGTAAGTTAACTAGGCAATGGCAGATAGTCAGTCTTGAGATCAGAATAACACACCTCTCCAAGGACCTGATGGCTTTAGGAGTCACAGAAGCTAAAGACTTACCAATATAGGCTTCAGAATCACCAATGTACATCTCTATGCAATGTCCAAGCATTGTGACCGAGAATGTGTCATCCCTCCTGAGACCAAGGGCCTATGGAAAAAACCCAAACAGTTCAAAGTATTCAGCAGCAAACAAAACCATTTCCATCTTCAGACTGCAATGATTCAGCAAGCCACAAGCACAACCCAAGCAACACTGCCATATGAACTGGCTGAAGGAGTAAGCAAACACAGCATGAAAAGAAAACGAGAAAAGGACAGAGAGACAGAGCCATTCACAAATGATGAAATGTAACATATGTTGCACTTATTGTAACATTTCGTTTTCAAGGCATAGGATGGAAGCATTGCAAATTATTTCAGCTGCAAGCATAAAAAGATAATGGACATAAAATGGGTATTGCAATTATCATATTTAAAGTTTGCCAGAGGCTACTTCTTACCAAATCAAGAGAAATTGCAAGAAGATTTTCTAAAAAAAATATTATAAAAACCCCACTAATTTGGAGGCTGGAAAAAATCATAGAATCATCTAAGATCATTGAGTCCAACCATTAACCTGTCACTGCTGGAACCCCTAAACCAGATCCGCCAGTGCCAGATCCAGATGCCACTTCAGCACCTCCAGGGATGGTGACTCCACCCCCTCCCTGGGCAATATCCCAGTGCCTCAACACCCTCACAGGGAAAACATTTCTCCTCACACCCAATCTGACTCTGCCCTGGCTCAGCTCAAGGCCATTCCCTCTAGTCCTCTCCCTGCAGCCATGGCAGGACACACATCCCCCACCTCTCTCCAACCCTGGCAGGGACTTGCAGAGAGCCAGGAGGTCACCCCTGAGCCTCTTCTCCAGGCTAAACAAACCCAACTCCCTCAGCCCTTCCTCATCCCACAGGTTTTCCAGCCCTTTGCTGCCCTCGTTGCCCTTGGCTGGACTCGCTCCAGTGCCTCAATGGCCTTTGGGCAGTGAGTGCCCAAAGCTGAGCACAGCACTGAGCTGGGACCTCCCCAGTGCCCAGTGCAGGGGGATGAGCACTGCCCTAGTCCTGCTGCCACACTCTGCTGGAGCCAGGACAAGATGCCCTTGGCCTCCTTGGCCACCTGTGCACACTCTTGGCTCCCACTGAGCTGTGCCACCAGCACTGCAAACCCAAACCCAAAGCAGAAGGAGGCAGGAGATCAGTCTGTGAGCAGCACAGAACCAATGGCAGCAACATACCGTGTGAAAGTAGTCGATTGCACTTTCAAAGTTGCCCATGAGGCTGTGGATGTAGCCAATGGCAGAGTAGGTAGAAGCATTCTGAGGGATTAACACCAGAGCCTGGCGATGATATTCCAGGGCTTCTTCATATTTCCTGGTAGGGTTAAACACAGAAGATCTGTTACAAGTCTCAGAGTGAAAGGTGTTTTTACAGCATTCCATTGGTATTTTCCATAGCTCAGTGACACACAATCGTGCAAGACCTCAAAAGTTATTGCTTCATCCTCTGAACATAACAGAATGTACAAAATGCTCATGGATATTGCCAGTTTTCTTCTTCAGGGTAAATGAGAAATCCCTGCACTCCTTATGTGGCCAAGGAGCTGCCTACAGCTAGGCCCCATTTGGAGATATCTTAGTCATCTCATGTGGTAAATTGCTTCAGATGTTTAATGCTGCTCACTGTAACATTAGCTTTCTTTCTGTAGCTTTCATTTGCCTCCCTGGGGGAGTAAAGAGCAACAGGCGACTAAGTCATGCATCATTCCAAGTGAGAAAAGCTCTCTGGGCAGAAATTTCACCACCCTTAAGTGCTACATACACTGGTAGTTTTGTCAATTCCACTTTGCTACACTCTCTGTCAGGAAAGGAGGTTTACACACATCCATAACTCCTTTCAAATACCAGTCACAGAATCACAGAATTTAACGGTTGGAATGGACCTCAGAGATCACCTAGTCCCAATGCCCTGCCCTGGGCAGGGACACCTCCCCACTAGATCAGGTTGCTCAAGGCCTCAAGTCACTCTTTCTTCGAAAATTATCTCTTAATTAGACTGATTATTGCATGTTATTTTATAAAGCAAGGATTAAATATGCACTATGACATTTCTCAGAGCAATTAAATTGTCACAATTGTCATCCTAGTTCCAAGTTGCTAGAAATAAATCAAGCAATCATCTACTCACGAGAAGTTTTAATGCCTATGGTTTAAGGAAATCGTGCAAACAGAAACACATGAAGTTGCTAGAGAGCACCAAGGAACAGCTGAGGCAGAAACAAGATGCAGCTGTTTGCTTGCTGCAGAAACCTTTCACATGATTTCATTTTCACTCCTAGTATTTACCTGTCCCACTGTTGCTTTAATGTGCTGCTTCCCAATTTAAGCCATGCAATGCAGTGAGTAGACACATATCCAGTAAGTTCAGAGACTCACAGAATCAACCAGGTTGAAAAAGACCTCAAAGATCATCGAGTCCAACCCTACCGTGGTCACTAGACCATGGCACTAAGTGCCACATCCAGTTTCATCTTGAAAACCTCCAGGGATGGTGAATCCACCACCTCCCTGGGCAGCACATTCCAATGCCTGAGCACTCTCTCTGTAAAAAATATGTTCTTAATATCCAACCTAACCCTCGTCTGGTAGAGCTTGAGTCTGTGCCCTCTTGTCCTGCTGCTGGTTGCCTGGGAGAAGAGACCAACCCCCACCTGACTCCAACCTCCTGTCAGGGAGTTGCAGAGGGTGAGAAGGTCTCCCCTGAGCCTCCTCTTCTCCAGGCTGAACACCCCCAGCTCCCTCAGCCTCTCCTCATGGCACTTGTGCTCCAGTCCCTTCACCAGCCTCGTTGCTCTTCTCTGGACCTGCTCCAGCACCTCAATGTCCCTCCTGAACTGAGGGGCCCAGAACTGAGCACAGGATTCAAGGTGTGGCCTCACCAGTGAGTTCTTTCCTAACAGCCATATCATCTACTCCAAACACCACTGAAATAGTTATTACAGACTTCTTTAAGTTGCCAAAGCATATTTACAGCTGCCTGAACTGTCAACTTAATTTTCCTGCACGATGGTTGCAAAAACATATTCCATTTGCTTTCTGAACCTGAATAACTAATCCCCTACAAGTTGTGCAAAGTGCCATGTAAACAGTTACTAACTTAGTCATCACAATCAAAACAAGTGTGTGAAAACACTGCAATTATCCCCATGAACAGCCTCCAGAAGTAGTGCCTTTTGTTTGATCTTGGCACAAGGAGTAACTGTTGTATGTCCTTGTTTCATAATGAAAATGAAGACTAATTGGCAATTGGAGCACAAAGCAATTACTACCAAAGCCAAAGCAGAAGTACAACTTTTATCTACCATAATCACATTCTCATTAGCAGCTTTGAAACAAAATACACCAATTAGACAATTAAAATCATGACACCAAAAAAATAAAACAACAAAAGATGGTGTTGATTGAAGAGAAGAAAACACTGGGTAAAACCAGATTAAGGTAATTAATGAGGAAAGGTTTCTTTGTGTTAAAACTGTTAAAGCTTTTGTACTTTGCACTTTTTCTCTTCATGGAATGGAAATATGAAATAGTTTTGTTCTAACAAAACCCTATAAAGTAATACTTCCCTGCTGTGTTAATGGCCTTGAATCTTTCACATCAAGGAAAAAAAAAAGATGTCAGTATGGATCCAAGCAATTAATCAGCACAAAACCACCTTTGTGTTACTTAAAGCATGGAATCATAGAATTTAAGGGACACCTCCCACCAGAGCAGGTTGCTCAAGGCTTCATCCAACCTGGCTGTGAACACTGCCAGGGTTGGGGCAGCCAC